GGTTCTGAACGTTTAGCTAAGATCAGATTGTTGTTGGTTAGGTACCAGAACCTCCTGGGTTCACTGGTCGGTCCAGTTCTAGATCACTGTAAGAACCCAGAACCTCTATCGGACAAACAGAACCAGAACCAATTGAACCTCTGCTGAAACACTTGAATATCCAGACTGGTTCATGATCAGAACCTCCTAATCAGAATCTAATCAGAACTTACCGGGTTCAATGGTTAATCTAGAACCAGGTCCAAATATGAGCCGAACAGAACCTCCAGCATTCACACAGTCTGAGGCTCCATAGCGCTAACTAGGATGAGTTCAACAGAACCAGCCCAGGGTTCTACTACCTGGTTCTGCCGATGTTCTCTGTCTAATTATTTAGAACTTTTTGTTTGTCATGTTTTGACAGAAAAATTATCAATGAAGCTGAAAAAGTTTTTGGTCGATCTTTGATACAGATTCAGGTTTTCAGTCAGAACTTACTGGGTTCAATGGTTAAACTGGTTCCGGATCCAAAGAACATCTTAAATCCACCATCATTCACACAGCAGGAAGATCAGAACCAAAAACTCAGCAGCTGGTTGCACGGATCAACCAGAACCAAGCGGATCCAGTTTGTCTAATTTTAGTTCTTATTTGAAGAACCGAACCTTTGATTTAAAACCCAGAACTTTATCAGAACTATCAGTCAAGGTTCTGATTAATATTAATCAGACTTACTGGGTTCAATGGTAAGTTTGGTTCCGGATCCAAAGAACATCTTGAATCCACCAGAACCAGTCACACAGCAGGATGACCCACAACACAAACCGGTTCAAGAGAAACAGAACCAGGTTTGGTTTTGGTTTCAAAATATGATTTTTCTTATCTTAAACTTCAGTTCTGTTTTTAAAACAGAATCTGGTTCTGAAACGAGCCGAGCAGAATAAAGATCAGAAAACTTTCTGATATGCAGGTTCTGAAAAAAACCTGAACTGGTTCTGGATAAAGTCCAGAAAGCATTTCAAACCAGAACTTTAGTGGACTCTGTGGTTGAACTGGTTCCAGGTCCATCTGTGCCACCAAAGCCCGACCCAAAACTAGCCGTGTTTAAACCTGAACATCTAAAACCCGGTTTATCTGTGAATTCAAAACTTACTGGTTTCAACAAAGAGTTTGGTTCCAGAACCAAAGAATATCTTGAACTGATTTCCTCCAGAAGTCACACATCAGGAAGCTCTTTCACATTAAGCTCAGAACCAGAACCTCACAGCCCAGTTGGTTTAGAGGTTCTGCTCTTCAGACATATTCTTTTGGACCTAAATGTTGGAAGTTCTTGGTTCCTCCTGAGGAGGTTCTAATTGGACCAAACAGTTCTGAACCTTATCCTTCATTTAATGCGGTTCTGTTTGCCTCTAAGACCCAATGAGTTTGGTTCTAACCACCTGAGCAGCTGGTAAACACCAAGACCCAGAACCAAAGGTGAGGAATTCTATCAGAACTTACTGGGTTCTACGATGAGTCTGGTTCCGAATCCAAAGAACATTTTGTTTGCACCAGCAACAGTCACACCGCATGACAAATCACAACAAAAAACAGAACCAGGTTCAGTAGAATTACTGCTTCTAGGTCCAAATTCTAATACTGATTGAAAACATTATTAACTTTGGTTCTGGTACCGAAACAGAATTTTAAAAAACCTGTTTGGTTCTGAAAAAGTCCAGAAGAATTTAAGATCCAATAATTTTTTTTTTTAGCATTAAAACAATTTTAGAACAAAAGTCCAAAAATCAGAACCAACTAATCTACCCCCAGAACCTCTAAGAATGAGATCAGAACTTACTGGGTTCTACGGTGAGTCTGGTTCCGGATCCAAAGATAATCTTGTTTCCAGCAAACACACAACATGAAACCCATCAACAAAAACTCAGCAGATAGAAACCAGAACCTGAACCTGTTTCTGTAGAAACTGGACCAGAACTTTTTCTGTATGAAGAATCTTTGCATGAAATCAGTTGTTAAAATGAAGAAAATGAATTTGGACTTTCAGTCCTTAATAGAACTGGTTCTGGTACCAAATCCGAATTCTTTCTTTATCTCTAATTATCCTACATCTAATGTTCGATGGTCTAACAGAAATATGGACCAAACTTTATGTCACCAGAACATCCAACCAGAACCATAAACCAGTCAGAACTTCAGAACCAGACTCTCATAGATGGTTCTGCTGATCAGGTTCTGTTTTCTGGTTCTGTAATGTAAACGGCACATGATGAGAGGAGGAATCATCGGACTGCTTCAGAACCTGAAAAAGGTCCGGTTTAACCAGGTTGCTCTGTAAGGTGAGAGGAATCTCATTAAAGATTAAAAAATTATATCAGAACTTACTGGGTTCTACGATGAGTCTGGTTCCGGATCCAAAGAACATTTTGTTTAAACCAGCACCAGTCACACAGCATGACGACCCATAACAAGAAACAGAACCAGGTTCTGTAGAATAACTCCTTCCTGGTCCAAATTCTAATTCTGATTTAAAACATAATTATTAACTTTGGTTCTGGTTCGGAAACAGAATTTAATTAAACCTGTTTGGTTCTGAAAAAGGTCCAGAAGAATTTAAGATCCAATAACTCTCTGAGCTACAGGTTCTGAAACAAGATGTTCTTAAGTTAATTGGACTCTGGAAAGAGTCCAGAAAATATTTAAATCAGAACTTACTGGGTTCTACGGTTAAACTGGTTCCGGATCCAAATAAGATCTTGTTCACACCATTCACACAATGTAAAGGTCCACAACAATAACCCAACAGACACAATCGGAACCAGTATGATAGACACTCAATCTAGAACCGGATCAGATTCTAAAGAAGTCTAAAGGATAACTTTGGATCAGTAGCCGCTTATTTTATAATGGTTCTGGTCCATTTCTACGGACTTTGTTCTGAAAACGACTAATTACTGGGTAATTTTTTTTCTACTTATTAAACAGTATCAAACAGGTTCTGAGTTGTTGTTTTTTTAGCATTAAAACAATTTTAGAACAAAAGTCAAAAAATCAGAACCAACTAATCTTACCCAGAACCTCTAAGAATGGGATCAGAACTTACTGGGTTCTACGGTTAAACTGGTTCCAGATCCAAAGAAGATCTTATTTCCAGTCACACAGCATGACGACCCAGAACATTAACAGGTTCTAGAGAACCAGAACCAGGTTCTACAGAAAAACTGCTTCCAGGTCCAAATTCTAATTCTGATTTAAAACATTATTTTTAACTTTGGTTCTGGTACCGAAACAGAATTTAATAAAACCTGCTTGGTTCTGAAAAAGGTCTCGAATAATTTAAGATCCAGTAACTCTCTGAGCTACAGGTTCTGAAACAAGATGTTCTGAAGCTAAATGGGTTCTGGAAAGAGTAAAAAAATATTTATATCAGAACTTACTGGGTTCTACGGTTAAACTGGTTCCGGATCCAAAGAAGATCTTATTTCCAGTCACACAGCATGACGACCCAGAACATAAACGGGTTCAACAGAACCTAACCAGGTTCTGTTGAATAACTGCTTCTAGGTCCAAAATCTGTTTATTTTTTAGATTTCTATCTCTGTTCTGTTACTGACAAACTATCTGATCAACTTCTTTGGTTCTGAGACCAGTTTAGTTGGATAAAAATCCAATAACTGTCTCATCTGCAGGTTCTGAAATATTTTTTAAAAACTGATTTTGTCCTGAAAGAGTCCAGAAAACAATTAAAACCAGAACTTACTTGGTTCTACGGTGAGTCTGGTTCCGGATCCAAAGAACATCCTATTACCAGCATTCACACAGCATGAAGGGCCTCAACAACAACTCAGCAGGTAGAAACCAGAACCAGAACCAGAACCTGTTTCTATTCAAGAATCTTTGGTTGAAAATAAACTAAATTAATTTGGAATTTTAATGGATTCTATCAGAACTGGTTCAGGTTAAAAACCTGGTTTAATGAAATGTTTCTACATCTGATGTTTGATCTTCTGATTAAAAAAAAAAACAATCTGATCTCCAGAACCACCAACTGGACCCATCAAAGATCTTATCAGAACTTTTTAAGTTCTATGGTCAAACTGGTTCCGGATCCAAAAAGCAGTTTTCATTTTGCGTCGTTCACACAACATGAAGCCTAATTAAACAAACAGCAGAGGACTAACTGGACCGAACCGAAACCTCAAACCAGAATAACTTCTGCTGAACTTTTATAGAAAACGATCAGAACCAACAGATTAAAATAACAATCGGATGATGATTCTGATGAAGTCCAACAAAACCCGATTCAGTAGGACGGGTTAATTTAGTAAAAAAACAAACTAGTAGAATAATTGGTTGTTTTCAGAACTTACTGGGTTCTATGCTGAGTCTGGTTCCGGTTGCGAAAAAGATCTTGTTCTGATTCGCATTCACACTGTGTGAAACACCAGAACCGAAACCCGATTCTTCCACAGCAAATATTCTAACCAGAATGAAAAACCGGATTTATGCTTTATCAGAGTGCAGAAAAGTCTTTCTTATTAAGTTTATTTTATGTATTATTATTTTTTTTTTTACTTTTGGTCTGTTTGTTTCTAAAAACTAATTCATGCATTTGAATATTATTGAGAATGGGAACCTAATGGTTCTCGCTTCTAAACTGGTTTCTGAACAACATGAAGTCTCTCATCAAACTGAACAATTCTGACTTTATGTTTGATTTTCTTCCACAAATATGATATCAACAGAATGATTTACGATGATTTAGCAGAGTAAGAATTTTTATGAGGGATTCATTTGTAAATTTGATCCAACTTGATATATTTTGATTTTATTGTTCTTCAGATTAAAGGTTAACGAATAAAACAATTGATAAGTCAGTTAATGAATATTTAGACAATTTTACAATTTTTAGATTCAGCAATGGTAAGTTCTGGTTTTGGGTCCAAACTGCATCGTATTCAGATTTATATCGAATATTCTTTAATTGAACCTGTTTGTAAATGAATTTATTGACCAGAACTTACCGGGTTCTACCGTCAGTCTGGTTCCGGGTCCAAAGAGCATCTTTATGCCAGAATTCACACAGCATTAAGCTCCACAGCACAAACCAGGCCAAGACAAACTGGGCCAGAACTCTTTTCAGATCTGTGTTATTATCATGACTGAAACTTGTTTCTGAATTTCTATGTAAAATATCCATAAATACAAATAAATTCTGTTTGTTTGGACTTTTTCAAAGGAATAACAGATTTTAGATTTTTTTTTTTTGCGCTGACTGTCAGAACCGAACATTGTTCTGATCCAAAGTCGATGTCTGTTTGTTTCCAGAGATTATTTTAACAGAATGATGATAATAAATATGAGAACTTACCGGTATGAACAGTTAATCTGGTTCCAGAACCAAAGATGATTTTAGCGCCACCAGAATTCACACAACATGGAACTCCAGAGCAAAAACTCAGCAGAACCTGACTGGACCCAATGCGAACCCGGTTCTGCTGTGATGGAATTATGGTTCTGGCCAATAATTTTAATTACAGAAATGTGATTTATTAAAGGATATTTTCACAATTCTGAATTTGTTTTTGTTTGTTTTCTGCAGATTTAAAAATAAAGAACGAAAAAAATATTAGAAATAATATTGTGATGAAAATCAGTTTAGATAAAATCTAAGCTGGATTATAATCTACCGATTTAAAATATTTGATAATTTGTCAATTTAGAAATTATTTGGTTTAGTCAAAGTTTGAGGAACGTTTTGTCTGTAAAAAGGAATTTTTGATTGAATTTTTAAATGTATCTGTATTTACTTACTGGTGTGAACAGTTAATCTGGTTCCAGAACCAAACAGCAACCTGGTTGCTGCTCCAACATTCACACACCAAGAACTTCCAGAACATAAACTGGATCGGAACAGAACTCAGCAGATTTATTAGCTGTGAGATTTTAAAACTATAGAAACTAAATTATGTTTATTTTCCATCATGTTTTTACTATTTATTCAATTTACTGAATTTTGGGTAAAAAGTCCAAAACATCAGAATGTTTTTTTCCTCCGAATCGGATCAGAACTCAACTGTTTGTGTTCTTTTTTCATCTATTTTTATTGATGCCTTTTCTAATTGTTTTAAATCTATAATGGATCCAGCAGAAAACACTTAGAGGAAATTTCATCAACAGAATGTTTCCCTGTTTAAAGTTAAGATTTAATGGGTTTAAATTTATTGATTAAATTTTAAATAAAAGCCTTAGTTTTTATTTTTTATTTTTTGTATTATTTAATTTCTTTGTTAAAATATTTTTAAATTAAATCAATTAGAAATCTGCATCAAGTGAGACAATGAACAGTTCTTTAAAAATATTAAATCCATAAAAACAGTCTTACTGGTTATGATGGTTAGACTGGTTCCGGTACCAAAGATCATTTTATCAGAATTTCCAGTCACACAATAAGAAAGTTCAGAACAGAAACCAAATGCAACAGGATGTCATAAGCAGGTATTTCATTTTTAAGTTAAATATATCACCTTAAACAGAAATAAATTCATAAATCGTTCAGAAAATACAATTAAAATTACTTCAGATTTCTTCAAACTTTTAGTTTTTTTAGAATTGACCAAAATACGTTTTTCCTCGATGCAAACTGCCGGTAAACTTTGGTTACTGACCAATATTTAATATGCAATATTGTTGAACTTACTGGTTTCTACGATCAGTTTGGTTCCAGTTCCAAAGATAAACTGGTTCTGGTTCCGATTCACACAGCATGAGGCTCCAGAACCAAAACCCAGAGCTCCAGCAGCTCAAATTCACATCATCTGCATCAACACTAGAGATATGAATCTATTGTTATCTTAACTTTAAAGGAGTCCGGTTCTAATCTAAAGATATTAAAGGTTCTGGTTCTGATTGGGTTAGAATGAAAAATTAAAGTTCTTGCCCTGAAAGGTTCTGATTAGATTTGGTTCCTTTTCTTTTCATCAACACTGAACAAGATCAGCGGAACCATTATTTTAAAGATCCAAACGAAAAGGTTCTGGAGTAATCTATGAGGTCCATTTAGCTCGGAACCAACAAAGATTAGGTTTTAATGACTGAATTAAATAAACTTTGAGTTTCAAATTCTGAAACATTAAATTTATTACTTACTGGGTTCTATGGTGAGTCTGGTTCCGGATCCAAAGAAGATCTTATTAACACCGGTACCAGTAGTCACACAGCATGACAACCCATAACGCAAACGGGTTAATGAGAACCAGGTTCTGTAGAATAGCTGGTTCCAGGTCCAAACTCTGTTTCTCTATATATATATTTTTTTTTCTTAGCTTAACATTAGTTCTGGTACTAAAACGTAAATAAATATAAACAGTTTTGTTCTCAGACCGGTTCAGCTGAAGGAAAGATCCAGTAACTTTCTGATGTTCAGGTTCTGAAACATGTTTAGAACGGATCAGGTACTATAAACTGTTTTATCGTCATTAAATTGTCGGATAAAACAAGAAGCAAAATTCTATCGTTGATTCAGAATCAGCAATAGAAAAAAAAAATTATTTTTTTTTCTACATAAAAATATTTTTTTCCTGGTTTATGGCTTTGGTTCTGTTCCTTAAAGAGAATTTAATACAGTTATTTTGGTTCTGTTCTTCAAGTTCTACTGATCTAGTTCTATCATTTTTTCATCTCTACATGATGAAAACTAAAAGAA